CTTGCCAGCATCCACCATCACCCTGATTTTCTACCTGCTCTTCATCCTGGAAATATTAAGCAGCCTGTGATCCCTGAATCCTTCCGAATACATGTTTAATACATGTTTCTAATGCAATTTTCAATGTTTTTTTATATTAAATGTGTATTTGTGTTTTCAAGCGTGATAAGTGATGTAGGTTTTCAGTGCTGCGTTAAGAAAGCCTGATAAATTTGGTACCGGATACAGTTAATTTACATGGTTGACAATTCCTTAATCCAAAACCTTCCTTCTAATATGAGAATGACTTTTTCCACAGGGGGGCTGTGCTGCTGAGGCAGTTACCATAATTACACTTCCTAAGCTGAAACTAATCTAAATTCTCAAGCTCACACGTGAAATTTGGGTTGGTAATGCATCAAACCTTTGATTCAGGGTGAAGCAGCTAATGTATCTTTGGTCCTTAGGAGGATTTATGAATTTTGCAAATGCCTTTGTTTCCCCGGGTGCCGAAGGGGGACTCTTTTGAAAACCAGCTGCTGCCACCCGGTGGAGGATGGTGCACATTGCAGTGGTTGAATTCTCAGGGGCACCTGCTGTTCTGGGCTTGCTTTCATGTGCAAGTGAAATGTTTCTAACCAACAAACAATCAAAATCCTTTAATGGTGTTTAATTGAGACAAGCTACGTTCTTTACCTTGGTGAGTTCCAATATGAATGCTCTTAATTAAAACGGTGGAACAAAGCAGGCTTTTTAAGGATAAATTGTTCTATATCAGAATGCATATGGCTTCAACACTGTATGAGGTTTTTTCACTCTTCTGTTCTTTTGCCCCGCTGTTGTGTCCTGGCTCTGCAGTGGTCCACGTACATCCGAGCCACAGTGCGGAAGGAGAAAGGGCTGCCCATCTTGGTGGAGTTATTACGGTCCGACTCGGACAAGGTGGTCCGTGCTGTGGCCATCGCTCTCCGAAACCTGTCCATTGACCGGCGCAACAAAGATCTGATCGGTACGGCAAGGCCCCGCCGCCTGAAGCCACTTGTTTCAAACCTAGCCCCATTTAGCCCGAGCACAGAAAGGCATAGCTCCCATCTTTGGGAGGGGCAGAAAGTCATTCTGCAGGTATCGCAGGAATGATTACCATTGGATCTGCGTCCAGGCCTTGAGAAATGGCATGGACACTGACCTTGCAGAAAATCAGAGATGGAATCACAGATTTAGCCATGACTGAAAAAGGTTTGAGGTTTTGCAAGAGTCAGTTCAGAATGAGTCGGGAATCCCAGAGTCCTCCAGTCTGGTTCCGAATTGTCCGCGCCCTGGCTGACGTCCAGTTCCGTGTTGCTCTGTATTGGCATGCAGGGAGCTATGCGATGCGGGACCTGGTCAGTAATTTGCCTAGCGGCCAGCAGAGACCTGCAAAGAACCTGGAGGAGGACACCGTAGTGGCCATTCTCAACACCATCCATGAGATTGTGACCGACAGCTCAGAGAATGCCCGCTCTCTCATCCAGGCCCAGGCCATAGAGAAGCTGGTCGCCATCAACAGGACAAGGTAAAGCTCCCAAAAAAACTATAACAGATAATCAGCCTAGTGGAACATAATCAGACCTTAACAGGCATGTTGTAGTTGTATATTAGACATAAGCTCAGGCTGCTACACCATGATCTATGGCATCAGATAAAAGATTAATCTGCTTTTTTTTGCAAATAATTTTCACCTATGATACATAAATCTCCTGGAAAGAAGAGTGTGAAGGAACCAATTTTTGTGTTGTTCTCTTTTTCAGTTCATGGCACATGATTTCAATTAAATATGTGACTAGACCTTAAAGTATGTGACATCAAGGACTGTTGAAGCAAGTCGACTTTAGATACTTAAGTTTGTTCAGAAGTTCCTCTGTTAGCCAAGATTTAATCAAATTGCTTCTGCGCTTTCATTTAATATGCTGTTTTAAATATGTACAGCTCTTTCAAATAATTAAAATATTGTTTGCATGACAGAATCTATGACATGGTTTTTCTTGGTTTGTTTTTAATCCCGAGAAAGTAATGAACTTTGTCTGTTTTCCAAAGAAAAATTCAATTAACAGAAGGAAAACAGTTGAGAGACAGGATTAAAAACTGCTCCTGGTGGAAGAATTTTTAATTTGCAGTTAAAAGTTGATTGTTGCTCAGGTCTTCGGGTCTACATGGAGTACTAATTTTGTTTTCTTTTAAAAAAAAACAGTCAGTCTCCACGGGAGACAAAAGCCGCTTCTCATGTTCTCCAGACCGTATGGAGCTACAAGGAGCTGAGGAACACGCTGAGCAAGGATGGCTGGAATAAAATTCACTTCCAGGTACTGATCAGCACACTGTTTACACAGACTCACTGTTC